AGGAAAACGGACATTTCCGCTGACGATGTGCTTAAAGGTGGAAAAGCTCCACCTGTTAGCGTGCTAGCAAGCTAGCTCCTAATAGTGACGAGTTTCATAGACATTCTATGCGAAGGCGCCTCATAGTGGACGCTGTCGGCAGCGAGGCTGACGTGCCTAGAGGGCGGCCATCTTGGATCGGACCATAAAAAATATTAACTTTACTCTCTAATTTTCCTCTATAGATCATAATACTCATTATCAAAGAACAATCCTAAAAAATACTGAATAATAATCCTTATATACTATATAAATATATTATATTTGTCTTATATTAATATAAAACTTAGCGTTTATCATATTAAAGTTTATTTGCGAAATATATAACTGAGCATATATCTCATCCAATTTTAGTTTAGTTTAAATAGTTTTTAATCTGAATAAGTATGTGTGATCTAACTGAAAGGTAATTTTCAAATTTGTTTTGGTCTTTTAATGGGTTGCGACGTGTAAAAGATTATTGTAATATAATCTCTGATTGTCTTTTATGTGATTAAAATGAGATCTAAGGTGCCTCCTATTCATTCTGACAGCAGCTGTCTGAACTGTAGTCTGATCCAAGATGGCCGCCCTCTAGGCCCGTTGGCCAGCGTCCAGCGAGGCGTCTACATATATAACGTCTATGATGAATTGACATGCGGAAGAAAAGCTGCTGAGTAACAGCAGAGCCGGAGAAACACTGGTTGCCATGGAGATTCCCTCCCTTTCCGAGGCGCTGTGCAAAGAAACGACTCTTTCTTTTAAAGAACCCAAAAGGTGAAGCAAACATATTCCTGAGCAGAAAGAGTGGCAGGACCTTCTGGCAGCTCTACATGTAAATGTTTATGTGCCTGCAGAGCTTCATGTAGGAAATACGACAGCTTAAGGAGCGCCGTCAGCGCCGGCGCTGAAAGAAACATTCAGAGCTGGAATATAACGAGGTCTGGGTCACAGTCTGACAGGAAACAGCAGCTCCGACGGCGGCAGGGAGCAAAATGGATGAAAGGAGATTTAAAAACCATCATATTCTGATCTATAACCCATAATTCATAGAGATCAACCTGTGGACACGTTTAAAAACCAGACAAAATGACATTTTCTGTCTGATATTTAAACTAAAGCAGGGTTTCAGCCCCTGACCCCATAGAGAACAGTGCCACACGCTGGTGACCCCAGAAAATACATCCAATTATTTCACTCTATATAGTGAAGATTAAAGATTAATTTGAAATATATTTATTTAAATTAATGTATTATTATTTGGTTGGACATTTATTAATTTTTTAATTGTAAGTTTTATAATTTAATCATATATTTACTTTGATTACTTAATTTAATATTTTGTATCTAAAATAGAATATCTACATGTTTTATGGTACATTTATTTATTTTATGAGACATTCACTTAAGTGCATTTTAATCACTCATTACGGCCCCTTCATATTCATTTGGAAAATCCTCTAATGGGCCCCTACTTAGTGTTTCATGGCCCCCATGAGGGCCCCGACCCCCATTATGAGCGCCCCTGCTGTAGAGCAAAGTATGGCTGCTTAATGGACGGGTTCTCTGAGCCCTAACAGCTAAAAGTAATTTAGGTCGGCGGCTTCTGACCCACAGAACAGAACGAGAAATGATTCCTCACCCAAACTATTCAAACTTATTTTTTTTTAACCTTTAACCTTTTATAACAAAAAAAAACACTTTTTGTTTTTTTCTTTCTAATTAATGCTTCCATATATTTGACTTTGCTTCTGTATAATCATATTTATTATTTAGTTTAATTTCTGTTGAGGATCTGAAGACCTTGAAATCGTTTATCTGCGACCCCCAGTGGGGCCACGACCCCACCTTTGAGAACCCCAGCTCTACAGGATGTTTAAGCTTTTTCAGTAATTATTTACATGCATTTTTACTTTAGGCTTTATTATTGGCCCTGAATGGATAAATAAACAGGATAGATGGCGTTTTAAGGCTGCATAGTGAGCAATAATCAGCATTTTAAAAAGCAACGGAAGAATAATAAGAACTTCTTTGATTATTAATAAATGTTTATCAGCTTCTTCCTGAGAAACTCAGCAGCTGTTATTGAATTTCCACTAATTTCCCCCAGAAGCAGAGAAAGAAGAACCCTGAGCAGGAAGGGAAACCCTCGGATTTATCTGCTGGGTGGATTTCATTGGAAACGTTAACCAGCGATGCTCAGGGGGCCTTTTACACACGTACTGGGAACACTGGTGCTTATAAATAGACATGAATGCGTTTTACCAGGAACATGGAGGAAAACAGCACTGACAGATGAAGGCGGAGCCAAAAAACACCAAAGATATTCCTTTAAAAACGACTTTAAAAATGCTTCATTGCTTAAATGGAAATAATTTGATTGATTATATTCCTGGTTTATATGTTAATATGAAAGTTCTCATTTTCCGTAAAACTGCGGCGTACTGGGAACTCTGGGAGGATTGATAGTTCATGAAGAACTCATTAATCTGAAGCGTTTCTCCTCCTTCTGCCTCCACCGTCACCAAACATCACCTCCTTTGCTTCAGGCAGGTGTGGGCCACCTAAACTCCACCCAGCACCATCTAACCAGGCCTCCCTGCCTCCTCCGCCCGCTCAGGGTGCCCGTCCTGAACGTCTTCACCCCTCTGCACCATCTATCATCGTCCCTCTGACTCTGGAAGGAAACGGGCAGCGGGTGGAGATGGAGGGAGGCCCCCGTCCCCTGGAACCAGCCTCCTCCTACAGGAGGCGCAGCGGGAGCTTCCTGCACAGCGAGCCTCAGGGCCCGACTCTGCCTCATATCAGAGCCGAGCTTCTAATGAAGAGCACAGTGGGGGGGATTATAGATCACAGTTAAAAGAGCTGTGTCACTTTTATAGAGCATCCTTCTATTAACAAAGATGTCAAGATTCAGTGATTCTCTTCACAAAAATTAACAGTTTGAAGGATAAAAATACAACTTTGACCCTGATTTTAACAAAAAAGTGGATCTAATTTAGGGAGGATGAAGGATGTAAAAGAAAAAAGGAGGAAAATATAATCTATGTTGCTAAAAAGCGAAAAATTTGACCAGAATTAACAGATAGTAAATTACAGGTGTCGCCCCCTGGCGGTGAGGAGACAGAATGCAGCTTCAGTCCAGCTAAAATATATGTATTTTTTTCTCAAATAATTCCTTTACTGTAAAGAGAAGTTTGATTGAAACGTTTGGCTGCTGCATCAAGGTGCTTTTATTTCCTGAAATATGATCTTTTTTTGTTTACAACCGGAGAAATTAATACAACACCTAAACAGCGTTAAAGAAAATGATGTTTTCTTGGCCGACGTTCTGAGAGCGTTTGGGAAACGAGTGCAGAAATGAGGAGGTGGTGATGGGATGAGAAGCGTCCCGGAGCAGATAAACCTTCAGGCTGCGTTCGGATCTCTGCAGGATAAATATGAAGTCATTCTGTGTGAAAACAAACATGAC